CCGCCCCCGAAGAAGGACACATCCAGGCGCTCCTCGTGGGGCTGAAGGGGGTTGAACCTGCCAGCGGGGAGGCGGGTAAGTGCACGGGGCAAGAGCAGCGCTGCCATGGGGTGGGAGCGCACGGGCCAGGCAGGGCAGCGCCCAGCTGGCACAGAGCCCTGGCACGGGGCTGGGGGGTGGTGGGACCCCAGGGCACACTACACAGGCTCCCTGCTCAGCCCACGGATGCTCCTGCTGCCCCGGGGCAGCCGCCCGGCCCTCAGACCCACTGGGGCCACAGCCCTGGAGGTTACTGCCTGTCCCAGGCATGACACCCATCACCCTGGCAGTGCCTCGGGGCAGCTCGTCACAGACCTGTTCACCCTGTACAAGACACCGTCGTCTTCGATGCCCTCCCGCTGGATGGAGAAGAGGGGAGACTTCTCCTCTGTTGGCAGGTACGGGGCAGCTTCGCTGGGGAGGCAGAAGGTGAGAGGATGTCTCCCCACCACCGCCCCTCATCCAGTCACCCCATGGCACAGCACCGTGCCCCAGCACCCATCCCAGCCTCCACACAGCCTGGCCTGCCCTGATGCAGACCACCCCGAGGGCTACTAAGACTCCGCAGTCAAATCCACGAGACCCCCAAAGCCCACACCAAGAAAGCCTCATCCTTTCTGCTGGGGTCTGATCCTGCCAGAGGGATGGGGGAGTACAGGACCCACTGTGCCCTTGTTCTCCCCCAGCCCCGATGACTGGGGCCACCCACTCTCCACACCCCAGCTCACCCCAAACATTGCTGAGATCTGCCCCATCATGCAGCCTGAGTGCAGGCAGTGCCTGTGCCACGTGTCCCTCCCAGCCCCTCCCTTCCTACGCTGCTCTGATGGTACCTTTCAGAGAGACACGTCCACTTGTGGGCCAAAGGGATCCAGTCGGGAAACTCCCACTGCGAGTACTTCTGATCCCGCCTGCAGCGGATGCGCCAGACATCAGCAGCAGCCCCGCTTCCCGGCCCTGCCTGCAGCACAGGCAGCCTCCCCTGCACCCTGCCTGCAGCACAGGCAGCTCCACGCCGAGGGCTCTCAGTCCCTGCCCTTCCCCACCCCCCCAGCTT